ATATACATCATTCTCATATCTTGAAATTTTTTATGATTTATTGCTATCCAAGAGGAAATTTTAAGAGTGTCTAAGAGAAAATTTTGGTGGTATCCAAAAAAAATATAGTCTTTCATATTTTTCTTATTTTCTAATTTTTTGCCTTTGTAAAGAATACAAATTCACAATTAAGTACTTAACTTTGTATTTCTTGGGCACCCTGGCCCGTAAGACTATTACCATAAGTTAAGTTACTTGAAGTGGCATAAATGATATGTCAAAAATGTTTGATCATCACCACATCATTAATTACACATTAGCATTAAAAGAATATTTAAAAAAACTTAAAAAAAACTAAACCAAAAATAAAAGTATTGGAAAAAAATGAAAAAAAAAATCTAAAATCTAAAATTTTAAAATTAAAAAAACTAATCCTAAAAATTTCCAAAAATATGAAAAATTAAAAAAAAATCCCCAATAATTAAAGAATCTATTTTTTTTTAAAATTCCAAAATAATTTAAATAAGAAAAAAATTAAATAAAAATTCAAAAAATTCAAAAGCATATTAAAAAAACTTAAAAATACAAAAATTAAAAAAATCCTAATGAATTTCAAAAAATTTTGAAAAAAATCCTAAAAAAAAATCTAATTTTTTTAAATACCAATAAAATTGAAAAACAATCTATTAATTTGAAAAATAAAAAATTAACAGTTAAAACAAATAAAAAATCTAAAAAATCACGTAAGACCAAACTTTTGTTTTCTTTTTTCTTTTTTTTTTTCAATTTTTTTCTTTTATTTCATTTTAAAAATTTTAATATATTTGACTTTTTATTTTTTTGGAAATGTTTTTTAATTTCCATATTTTTGAAAATTTGGGGTTTTCTCATTTTTTTAGATTCTTTTAATTTTTATTTTTTCAAAATTTTTTAATTTTCATATTTTTTACAATTTTTATTTTTTTAATTTTTCAGATTTTTTTAATTATTGGGAAATGTTTACTTTTTTTTTAATTTTTCAAAATTTATTGTTGGATTTTCAATTTTTCATATTTTATCCTTTTTCCATTTTTTTTATTTTTAAAATTCCCTTATAGTTTTAAATTTTTAGGATTTTTTTATAATTTTTTTAGATTGTTGAAAATTTTTAGAAATTGTTTTTTAATTTTTAATTTTCTTGATTACTTCTTAATTTTTTTAGAACTTTTAAAATTCTTTTGGATTTTTTAATTTTTCAATTTTTTTAATTTTTTGAATTATTCTTTTAATACTAATGTGGCAATGGCAATATAACAATAACTGAATTTAACACGTATAATGATTTTATTGGATATTCATATCATATCATTAACTTAACTAGTTTAAAATATTAAAATATATAACAAAATAAAGATTGAATACCTAATTGTGAATTATTTTTTAATTAATAAACTAACAAAAAATATATAATATAAAAACTAATTTATATTTAACTCCAAAAAGAATTCGCAAATAAAATTCTTCTCACAACAAAACACATTGAAAGAAAGTTCATTAATATGATTAAATCACAAAAAAGTTGTGATTTGATTATACATCGAGTGAGTGATTATACGATGAAACGAAATATACGATGGAATAAAAACTTAAATATTTAATTGTAAATTAATTTTTAAATATTAAATTAAAAAAATGTATAATACAAAAATAATTTATATTTAATTCTAAAAAAAAATCGTAAATGAAATTTTACCAATAACATAATACATTGAGAGAAAGTTCATCGAGACAATTAACAGATAAAAAATTGTAATTTGATTACACATTGAGCGACTGATTATTGTTAACCCATGGTTTACATCAAGTTTTATCCATCCCCTTGAGTCGAATGTCGAAATTAAGTTTCCAATTTATTACATTGGAATTTGAAATTTACTTTTGGGTACGCAATAGCCTGGACAATTTTTTCAAGACTTTTCCCCGCCAGATTTCGAATTCATCACTATTCACATGTCTACCGCACAGACTTTGAAGCTTGCGCTAAAATGTCCTCGGATAGAGCAGGCTTGGCCAACAACACCGACATTTTTACCAACCAAAGCCCGAGTCTCGCTCACTCATAAAAAGAAATAATATAATATTTTCAATAATATTTTAAAATTATTATTTAAAAATAAAACTATATTATTTATTACTTAATACGGTAATGAAGTCAAGTCGGCTTTAAACAGCGATAAAATCAGAATTTTTATTCAGCAAGAATTTAGTTCAAATGTACAAAATTATAAAAGAAACAATAACAATAATGATATTAGTAATAAAAAAATAAAAAGTAAAACTTCCATACTCAGTCATTATTGTTAAAAATTTTGTAATTATCATTTCATATATTTTGAAATCGTCACACAATAATTCTATTATTAATATTTTTAATATATTTTTTAATGTAAGCAATTAAATTATCACTTAACCATTAATATCTCATTACTAAAAATGTTTGTCTTCAATATGTTCGTTGCTAAAATTCCTTCTTTTACAGTAACAATAACAATTGATAAGATAAATATTAGTCTCAATAAAAAAATTCAATTTTTTTTTTTTTATTTTAGCGTTTGCTTGAGCCCCCACTAAACCTTTCATGGCTTCACCTATGATTTTAGGTGGCTTAACCTTTGGACACACGTGGCATGCACCATACAAATAAAATGGTGTTTTGTTGATAAAAAAGTATATACTATATATACATCAAACTTATATATATTTAAAAATGACAATAAGACGAGCTGGATTATTTTAGGTCAAAAGAAATTCAAATCATTTTGTACTCAAATTATTTTAAATTTATATAATTTTGAATTCAATTCATTTTTGTTCAAGTCATTCAAGTTTGACACTCAAAAAATTTGAGTTTGCCCCATTAAATTTAGATATTTTGAGTCCAGGATAATTTAATTTCACATTGTTGATTTTTTATCAATTAAGGTTAAGTTAAGCTCATGTTTAAGCAAGTATTTTAAAATTCGGGTTTAGTTTTGCCGGTATGTAGATATTCATCCATGTGTATTATCTTATACATTAAACATAAAATTTTTGAACTTTAAAAACAAAATTAGAAGATTGATACATTAATTAACCTCGATTGTAAAGCTTAAATTGTTTACATAGATTATATGAAATAATTATAAAATTTTCATCTTCTATGTAGAAGTAGATTCAAAATTTTATTTGGGGGTACCCACCTATAATAAATAATATTTGAGTCAATGTTTTATTTGTAAAACATAGTATTTTGTTTTATATAATTTTTAATTTAATATTTTTATTAATAATTTTTTCATTATAATTTACTTCACCACTACTATTAATGTCGCTTATACATTTGAACACATTTTATTACTGGTATTAATCTTATCATTATAATAATTAATTTTACTTGTATCATTAATGGAAAATAATCTCACCACTCATATAAATGTAATCTCAATGCATTACAATCTTAATTTTTCACTGAATCAAATTTTATTGGTCTAAATAATCTTAATTTAGAGGTAAAATGCAGTGAACTCTCCCCACCATATAGTCCTATTGTACCAAATGGAACTTAACTATATTTAGATTTCGCAATCCAAGTATCATGTAATTCGCTCATATTCCACACTGCTGGTATCATGCGTGTTCTGGAAGAAATAAAATACATCATTTTATTTTATTGAAAATGTCGGATAGAAAAATAGTTTATTCTTTTTCAAAATTATTGATTCTCGTTTCCGATTTGCAAATTCATGATGTATTGTCTAAAGCAATAACAGTTCTATTGTTTCTGGATTTATAGTATCGATTGAAGATCCGTTGACGGAAGTGTTTAAGAATATTTTTCAGAAGAATTTTTTTCTAAAAAAAAGTTCTTAATTTTTCTTTTTTAGAGATTTTATGGATACTTAATCCTAATACTTGGATCCGTCTCCACTTCTATATATAAAGTATTAATTCACACGATTATATACATATACATATATGTATACATTAATTCGTACGAATATATATATATTTATATATGAAAGATTCACTTAAATCAATGTAAATATTATGATGTTTTTTTAATCTTTAGATCAATAAATATGTATATTTGTATCCCATGAATACCATTCAAGCGGTTAGAATTTTTGAAACTCTAATATTAAAGTTTTGGATTTTAATTGAAGGTAGGTGAGACAAGATTTATGGGATTAGAAATTAAGAATTACTTTCATTTGTTTATCCAAGAGTCACATGCACCATACCTGCTCTTGATACATATCCAGGCCTCGATGGCTATAATTTCTCCTGAATAGAAATGCTTAATCTATCTAGATTGTCATTTCTCTATTTTGGGAATTCTAAATTATTAGTGTGCCATCCAATGACTAATGTGAGCGGTTGGGTTATTTGTTTCTCGAGAAAATTTGATATAATCATTCCCCAAATATTCATAGTACAATACAATTTGTCAATGGAAGTGGCTTTGATTTTAGTGAATCCTAACATTAATGTTTTTTATTTCTTGTTGTTTGAGTCATAATCGGAAGGTGCAACAGAATTTTCCCCGGTTCATTGATTGGTCTATGCTGGCGTAGTCTGCACACATTAATTTTTATACCGTCCATTCAAGGCAGGACCAAACCAAAGATTTGAGCACAACGCATTGACGGGGTCACACTGTCAAGGTTGGTGAGCTCATCAGTGGTAGCTAAAATTAGCCTCCTATGCACGTTATGACAGTGAGGGGTTCCTTATATATATATATATATCAAAGATAAAAAGAAAAGAGTTGTACATATTAATATTTATTTGAATCTCAATTTATAAGGTGTTACTTTTTAAAAAATATTTGTATAAATCAATAATATTAGATTTCAGATATAGTGACGAGCCTTCTACTCTAACCATTAGAATATAATAAAATTAATTAATCAGCAACTTAACTATGAATCATCCTAATACATATCATGGGGCCCTCGGCAAATATTCCTGCAGATGAAGGTAGGTCCTTGATCAAGGAGCTGATTACTGTCTCCTATAATATATGAAGGAATTGCAGTTCCTTTTGATGCATTCACATGGGATAGCTTTCCCCTTCTAAAGAAATTATTAGTTAAGGAAAAGGAGACTTTAAGTTGGTAGCAGGCTTTAAACAAATTCCTAAAAGAAGCATAGAAGAATCGTTAGAGCAATTCCAACGATCTCAATAGCCATGGGGAATTCAAATTCTACACATTCAAAACAATGGGGGGATGGCTCAGAGTGGATATTAGGATGAGTGGCTCCGAGATCCCATTTTAAAAGTCTAGGAGCATCGAAATTCATGGTATTTTTCTCTCTCACCTTTTCATCAATCCAAACCAAACAAGTTTCTTTAGGCCTTTGTACCTTCATTTTTTTTTCTTCTTTTGCAGTTTGCAGGATGAATTCAAGGAAATCTGTTCAGAATCTTAAGGAAACAATTCATTCCCTACTGGGATTCAAGTCACATCTTACTTCTACTTGGGCCAAGTCAGTTTGTGATATAATAAAAAATTTACCACATGAAGGATCAACTAGGAACAAAAATGACGAATCCAAGATAAAAGGTACTCCATTCCAATCCATTCTTATGCGGTGTTGTCTGCTCATTTTACTTGCTTGCTTTAATCACTTTCTCATTCTAATCCCTGCTTGAGCCCCTTCCCATTGATTTCTGCCTTCCTGTCAACAGAAGAAATCGCTGCCTTAACCGACTCCATAAACCAGTTGAACATACAGAGAAGGCAGCTCTTGAATGATTTGTTGGAATTGAAAGGTTAGTCATATTTATATTGATATTTTATAATCTTACCTATATAGGCAATGTTCCCTGTAATTTTTTTTTCTCCAACAATCATTTTCGAAGGAAAGATAAGAAAGAGGTAATACTTGAATGAAATTTTAATAGAAAAAAATTGAATAAAAATTCAAATAAATACTAATGGATTAATAGATTTTTTTTTATTTGATATGATACGATGGATTAATAGAACTTTTAAAAAAAATAAGTAATTTGATTAAATTTTAACATATTTTATTTTATTAATCTATACCTATACATGTATGAATTACAGTAGATTTAAAATTATCTATTTCAGTGTTAATATGATTTCAAAATCAATTTATCGATGCTTGTTTCAAGAACTTTAAAGAATCTATTTCTTATTATACTCTTTAAATAATTTTTTTCTAGTCTATATAACAATTATTAGCATTATAGGAAAATAGGTTTTTAACGGTATTTATTTGCAATTTTTACAACATAACTAAAAAAATATATTTCTTTTTTTCACCAATCAACCTCATTCGAGACATTTTCTTCATCTTCCTTCTCATCACTTTGAACATCACCAACTTGAGTATCGACATTACCAACTTGAGGAGTAGAAAGGACATCTTCAAACATCTCCTTCACTCTTTTCCTTGATTGATTCATTTTTTTATAAATGAAATTGATATCTTTTAACTTTGACAAAATATCAAACCCAATACTAAGTGAGAGCGCTTTCCTAAACTCTTCAGTTTTATCAAAAAGATGTTTTTGAAATATAAATCGATGATTATCATCTAACCACCTATGATGTACCATACAATTGAACTTTCTACTATTATATAACTACTTTGAACATGTCTACGTAGAATAATAAGGATAAGCATAACAACCTTGGTTCTCCAACCAAATAAATTCATATAAGTAGCAAAATCATTAATAGTCCGGTGCTCTAACTAGATAAATTCGCATAAGCAAGAAAATTGATAATAGTCCATAATAAAGCAACATGCTTATTGAGTTTTTTTTTTTTGACACATCATAAATCTCAACTCTTCCAAAGATTGCTTTAACTCTTCAATAAAAGGTTGTAAGTAGATGTATATATCATTTCCTAGACCTCCCTTGCTAGGAATTATCATCGGTAAGATAAATGAATATTACTTCATGGCAATCCATAGTAGCAAATTTTAAGGAATCAATATAACTAGCTAAGTACTACAAGGGTACTTATCACTTTAAACGAATTAAATTCATCAAATGCTAGTCCAAGCATAACATTTTTAGGATCAAAAGAGAAGTTTGAAAATCTAGAGTAAAATGATTTTCATGCCAAAGAATTAGCAGGATGCCTCAATGATTTATCATCCGATTATTCGTCATAATGCCACTTTATAGAATTTGTAGTTTTAGAGGACATGAAAATTCATTGAAGTTTCGGTATTAATGGAAAAATCATAAAACTTTTATAGGCTTTTTTTTTCAAGTATTTCATCATCATCCTCGTTCAAATTTTCTTTGAGATTTGTGTCCAACCAATGAGAATTATCACACACATGACAAGATTATTGCTTTTTTTTTTTATCACTCCAATACAACATGCAATCAATAGCGCAACTATGAAAATTTTCTTATCCAAGACCTAATTCCTTGATCATATTCTTAGAATTCTTACAAGATTCATGGATTTTTGTGAAAAGAGACATTTATTTCATAAATTCTAATAATAAGTTCAAAGAGTTTGTAGTCCATCCATATAAGCATTTCAAATGAAAAAAAAAAGCATATAGAAAGACAACTTGGAATGCTTGGATCCCTTATAAAGTTTTTCATTCATATCCTTAAGCAACCTATAAAACTTTGATGCTTCTCTACTAGGTTATAGGTTACCTATACCTATCCCATGTTCCTCCAAATCATTCCTTTTAAGATTTGAATCATTAAATCTATCATTTTGGAAAGACTCATTTTGCAAATGTTGGTTATAAATATTAAAAGTATTTCACAACATACCTTTTATGTTATCTTGTCTAATAAAAATATGTTGGTTTTGGAAAGTCCTTGAAGTTGAAAGAACTCTAGTTGATAACTTTGAAGGTACAAAATCTCCATGAAAATACCAATGAACGTATCTCAAAAGAAATCTAATACAAATTAATTGTTTGAAAATGTTAGCTTTATAGGTGAGATGGTGATCTAAGAGAGGGGTGAATTAGATTTTTTTAAATTCTTCCCAAATAAATGATTTCAATATAATTGAATGAAAATTAAAACAATAAGCACTTTTGATAAAAATATAATGCTAACAATAATAATTAATGAACCTAAAGTCAAATACAAGCAATAAGAAATTGTAAGGAGATAGGAATAGAGAAATCAAACACAATGATTTATAGAGGTTCGATCCTTCTCCACAAGGCACCTACATCTTTTCTCTTGGTTGTCCACACAAAGGCTTCAATCCACTAATTGAAGAAAAATTCTTATAAGATACAGACCTATCTTGTACTAAATCTCTATCTTTTTCTCAAGGCTTAGATAGCAACCTCTACCCTTATAGTGTCAAGAATATATACCTCACCTTTTGTTCTCTTCTACCCTTGTATATCAAAGGTAATTTTGCAAACAACAACCTCTCTAAGGCTAAGTGTTTGCTAAGTTTAAGTACAAGAAAATGATGAATGAACAACAAATATAATTTGGATACAATAAATACAAAGATATGGACTTTGAAGCTCTAAAAACTCTTGATTCTTTGAGAGAATGAAAATATGGCTTATTGGCTCTTGCACTCTTGATTCAAAAATCCTTTTGGTGTGTTAGAGTACTCAATTTATAGAGAAATTGAAGAAGTAGCTGTTGGGGAAGCTTGGGAAGTGAAAGTAGCCGTTGAATGCATGAAAAAATAACCGTTGGTGTGATTTTGTCCAGACCCGATCGATCTCTTCCTTGAGGGATTGATTGGTTCAAGTTTTATGCCATTTCATGTTTAAAAAATACGACCCGATTGATCCCTTCCATGAGGGAATTGATCCTATCAATGGCTAGGTGATTGTCTTTTATTTTGCACTGTACTCACTATTTGATCATATCTTAAGTTATATAAATCCAAATCATAAACCGCTTGAAGATTTAAAAGCTAGACTTAAAGGGCTTTCTGTCCATATAAAATTCATCACCTAATTCATTGAGTACGAATTATAGTGAATTTTCAAAGTTACCCCTTATGCAGTTTTTCTAACAACTATAAAGTGTCTAGTAAAAATTCAAAATCTTTTCTTAAAAAATTTGGATTTTGATTTTGTTTAATCCATTAAAAAGTAGACCCAAAGAGCTTTCCAACCATATAAAATTCAAATATTAAAACTTTGTGAATTAATACAGAAAAATAAAATAAGTTCAATGTTGGAAAACTTTGTTCTTGTAAAACAGCTTTCTTAAATTAATCTTTTTCTCAAAATCAATATTATCAAAATTGTATAAAGTCCAAAATGAATAAGTTCACTTTAAAAACAATAATTGGACTTTCATTTAAGCTCAAATAAATAATCTTTAAAGATAGATTTGGTTTGAGAAACACGAAACCAAGAAAGGTTTGTTTAAACTTTGAAAATCATATTATTTATTTAATACCAAAATATAAAACTTAAGAACATGTACTAAATAAATATTTTTCAAACTCTTGATCAAGCTTATTTAGCTTTAATGTTTTGTCATTTCAAAATAAGGATCAATTCAAGGCTAACAGAAAACAACTTCACTTATGTGCCAATCTATATTAACACACCTCAAACATGGACATAATATCATATTATCTTCACTTACATTCTCAAATGCAAAATTAAGAAAATTTTCTACTCATTGTCGATTTTTTTTACTTAACCTCGATTTTACTTTTATCCATTTACTACTTGCTACATCCTAAAAACCAAAGTTATATAATTAATTATGTGAAAGCAAACTCTGACATACTTAATTATACCAAGTATTACGCCAAAAATTATAACAATATTATATCACCAAAAAACTTATTGTACTTTTTTGTATATTCTACATGAGTTTTTTACAACTAAGATTAAATTGAATAAAAAATTACATAATTCATTAGTATAATAAAAAAATTAAATAAGAGAAAATAAATATAAAAGAATTTAATCATAAAGTTCATTAAATAAATAAAAACATGTCTAGGTAGACATTTGGTAGCCCAAGTAGGCATGAATTAGAGCACAATAGGGTATCAACAGTTGAGCATTCATCCAAGCTAAATGATTGAACATTCATATAATCTTATCTTATCCTAAAGCAGTCTTAACTCTAAACTCCAGTCATCAGAAGGCTCTGCATAGCATTCAAGTTGGGAAAACAAGTTTGGTGTATGATTTTAATGGACAAATCTTTGCAAGATATAGTTTAATAAGATAGTGAAGGTTTTAGTAGATCATAAAACGATGCCCATTTATGGTTGATGCTAGCATATTTTTATGCTAGCTAAGCATAAGCAAAATAGTTTTGGTTAGGTAATAGCCAAGGTAATGTCTCTATCTATTATTTTGCCCACCACTTATCTTAGTAAAAATCAATAGACAGGAAAAATGGAAGAGGTTGTGGCCAATAAAAATGGACTTTGCTTTAATCTAAAGCTATGCATCGAAATAATGGTCTTACTTTGATAATTTTACCATTTTAGCCAAAATTTGTTTTTCCTAGTCATCAAATTTTGCATTTTAAAATTAAATTGACATTTTTCACCAATTCAAACACCAACAAACTAATTCACACAATTTTTATAATTAAAAATTCATGCAACCAAAAACCTATAACAGAGGCAAATAGGTTTATTGATTGAGAGAGAAAAGAGATGAAAAAATGCTGGCTTTGAGAACTAAAGAGAAGTGCAAATTAGGAAATGTCACCGTTTACCTTTGAAAAACGGCCCAACATCTAATAGTGTGCCATCGTAGAAGATGGCTTTCTAAAATCAAATGGAAAGGAAAAAGGAAAGG